TTCCACATAAGTTACAAACAATGGAAAAAATACCAATGAAATCTTTAATTCAGCAACTATCAGAAATTGAACCAATTGAAAGTAATCTTTGGGATTATAAACAGTATTTTATTCCTATTTTCACGTGTTTAGGCTTAGTTTTAGTATTTTTTAGTATATTTTGTGTATGGTTCAAATGTTTCTTGCGGAAAAAGACAAAAAGTCAATTTACGAAATCGAACGCCATTGACCAAAATGATCAAGACGGACACAAACCAAAATATTCCAGTCCAGCGGATGTATCAGAAATACAACTAACACAGCCGTTGATGCCACCCATGTATCCAGCAAAGCTCTATCCACGCCTACAAAACATACTTCCACCACCAAGAATTGAAGAAGAGCCAGTGTAGAAATATTCATCAAACATGTTGACATTTACATTTATTTTCGTTAAATTTCGTCGTTTTGTCCTCTCGTCAAAAGAGACACTATTTTCAACATCATCCTTATTTTACAAGTTTTTCTACTATGGAGAGTTTACCTTACGTGATATTCAACATGGAGTGACCATTGTTTTCTTAAACTCTACCATAATGTGTTTGAAACAGAGTTAGTGATGTGGTTTAACACACACAAAAATGTAATTCTCTGTATCTCATACGACACATCTAGTAGAACTCAACAATATTTCGACAGACAGGAATCATCCGATGCAGTCTAATGCCGGAAAGACAGAAGAAGTCTTCGTTTCCTGATCAGAATCGTATTTATTATTTTACCTCTAACGACGAACTTTGTATTGTTTTATCATTAACTCTTCATCGTTTGTCTCAACCTTTTTGTGCGAGATATCACGTCTAGACGGTAGTACGTCAACCAAGAACTTTTCGTCATTTTCATATTTACAAGACTCATCATGTGATGAACATTACTTTTATTTGGCCTCTTCGTCAAGACTTGTGATTTGGAACCTTCGCCGTGTGGAACTATCAACTTGTGGAGTGATTGAACTGTCTTATTAATATTTCGAACTGTACTATTCATATAATAACTGTAATATCAATTTATTATTGCCTTTCGTTCTCAGTTCTTTATAAGTACACAATACTTTTATGTTTATTCTATTGCAAATATTGTAAAATTGCATGTATTACATGTAAGTTTTTATATCTAAATATTATATTGACCTCGTACATTACCTATGTATGTTACATCTTAAGTAGTATTTTATATATTTATGTCTATTAATTATAAGGAACCATCCCTTAATCGGGTAATAACAATAATTAATCGTTATGATTTACAAAAGTTTTCAATTACTAGTTTTATCAGATCTCAATGATCTATTTTTTTTATTTTTTTGAAATGTTATCTTGAAATGTTACAAATTGTGCTGTTTTACATATCATTATCCTTAGAGAGTTCCAAATCAATTATGTTTTCAATATATTCACACAACTTTTATTCACATACTATTTGGAGAGTTTCGCCTACGTGATATTACACGAGGATTTAAATGTTTAAACTCTACCATTTTATGTCAGAGTCAAAGTCAGTGACGTGGTTGTACACGCACAATATTCATATGAAAGACTTTGTTACTCATAAGACATATTTACACAAATACATATTTCTATGCGGATGACACATTCCCGATACATTTAATATCAATAACTTAATGATAAGGAACTTTCTGATTTTATTTCATTTTCTCATCAATTGTACTAGTCATAGCCTTATTGTGAGCGTGACGTCATGACTTAGCATAACAGACGGTGGTACGTCGTAACTAAGTATATTTACATATTTTTTCATTCATTAATTGTAACACAGCACAATGAAAACATTTGTCGATAATTGAAATTTATCAAAGTCGAGCGAAAGCCTTACTATCCACTTGATTTTTTTTTCTTCTCTTCGTTTTTTATCAAAATGTACATCGTTAACAAGCAAGTTTCATGGTTATTCATGGTTTTATTACAAAGGGACGTAACGAACTATTAATATTTTCATAGATGATGTCAAAATTATAACTAATTTGAAATCAATTTTATACAAAGGGACGAATGAACTATTAAAAGTTAATATGTAAGTTAAATTAAACTATCCAAAACTGTATTCCACTAGACATAAGTCAGACGTGTTGTCCAGAAGCCAGAACATACTTTCTGTTAATAATCTATCACACATGTCCAGTATACATTCGCTCCCGGGTTAATTACATAAGCTTACCAATACCGTCTAGCAGGACAGGTCAGCAAAACCTTAGCTTGTCGTAAACCACCTAATCTACCACTATGTGTGTGCATTAGACCATGTAAATAACTCATGTGTTATCCACTTCTTGTTAGCAAATATGTAATATTAGATTATCAATGTCTACGACTTTTAGTATAAATACGACTAGGTTTCTAGCCAGTCGTCGATTCGGTTCCTGAAGGCATGCGAGTGTACCACCTCTCCATGTCTACACACAATAAATTTACATCAACCTAAACAGCGTTTGGATTTCTTCATCTCCACTCAACACTGCAACACTCTTCATTCTCAACAAAGAAGTTCACCCACTACACTTTATCGGACACCACATCACTTTAAAGGTAACACAAGCTTTAACTTCTGTCGATGATGGATGCCACACTTGAGATGAAGTATCTCACCCTTTGGATCAAATGGCCTGAAAACGTTCCCTATGTTGTAAAATCCTTCATTTTTGTGGGGGATTTATTTTTGCTAATTTTCGTGAATATTCTTAATCCACAAATTTATGTGCCCACAAACTGATATCAATTAGTATACGGTAATTATATTCATCTAGCTATATTTATCCACAAAATCAAGTGTCCTCAAAATATGATTTTTTTCGGAAAACCACAAAAATTAAGCCCCACAAAAATACACGGTTTTACAGTAATACAGGTGACTGTTACTTACCACACTCCCCTATAGAGGCCACTATGATAAGTTGTTGTAGACGACACGATTCCAACATGAGCTCACACTCGTTTCTGTAGGTTTTCCCGTCAGATCCACACAGTTTCACTACCTGATCCTGTAATATATTCTTGGTGTATCAATTTCAAACTGCTTTAAGAATAAAGAACCTTACACTGGAAATTGTTTGAAATTTTCATAAAAATATTTTGAGAAAATATTTTTTAACAAATTGTCAGTTGATGTGAAACCTACTTATGCCATCTTCAATGTCTCATGAAAAATAAACTACTAACAATGATATCGTCAAATTTGTAACATAATTACGTTATACTTAAAATGATGGCACTACCCTATTGTGAATAAGTGTCATTGTCCGAGCCAGCTATCATTGTCTACCCCGTGTGGGATAGAGGCATCCCATCCCTTACAAACTAATACAAGATCACCCTTTCAACTATAGAAGAAATAATCATTAATATCTATATCTTGTAATATATCATTAAATTACAACCAAAATATTACGTATATGTGATGAATCATCTATGTAGTAGTCAGTACCGTTCAGTGTAGCTTCAGTATATTATCCACACATACAGACTCGCTTGAACTACTGGGTGTGAGCTTGTACATGCATTTCTAATTATTAGGTGATATGGCAAAATCACAGAGACACTTTAATTGAGTAAGTGGCCTAAATGTACAACGAAAAATCATCACTGGAAATTTACATACCAATGTACATATTGTAATTTTGATGAACAGGTTGTAATTCCAATATATGTTGTAATTTTGATGTACCAGAAGAGGTACATGTTGTGATTTTGATGTACATGTTGTAATTTTGATGTACATGTTGTGATTTTGATGTACATGATGTAATTTTGATGTATATGTTGTGATTTTGATGTACATGATGTGATTTTGATGTACATGATGTGATTTCGATGTACATGTTGTGATTTTGATGTACATGTTGTAATTTTGATGTACATGTTGTGATTTTGATGTACATGTTGTGATTTTGATGTACATATTGTAATTTCAATGAACATTGTGTAATTCCAATATATATTGTAATGTTGATGTACATGTTGTGATTTTGATGTACATGTTGTAGTTTTGATGTACGTTTTAACTTTGATATAAGTTGTGATTTTGATGTACATGATGTGATTTCAATATGTTGTAATTTTGATGTACATGTTGTGATTTTGATGTACATGATGTGATTTTGATGTACATGTTTTATCTTTGATATAAGTTGTAATTTTGTTGTACACGATGTGATTTTGATGTACATGATGTGATTTTGATGTAAATGATGTGATTTCGATGTACATGTTGTGATTTTGATGTAGTGTACATGATGTGATTTTGATGTACATGTTGTGATTTTGATGTAGTGTACATGATGTGATTTTGATCAATAGCTGAGAATTGTATAATGATAAGGACTGGATAGATTTATTCACGAATGCTAACTTCTCTGACGATATACTTCTCGACATAGCTGAGGATTGTATAACGACACGGGCTGTAACGATAGAATCAAATGACTCAAAACTTACGACGAGAAATTAGGAAAAGAAACTGACAACTGATTATTTAATCTAACCGTTCACTCAGAAATGTCATTGGAAAATGAGCAAAAATGCATAGCAGTAAAATTATGATTTTTTTTAATTTCAAGAAAATCCATTGAAAACTGAGCAAATGCATAGTCAGACATTTTTTTTCACATAAAGGGTCATAACTCCCTTAAAAGGTGTTGAAATGCAAAATCATTTTAGAAGCCGCAGCTCTATAGTGTACTGGCATTTAACACAAAATGTCAAAAAATTATTAATGAAATAGCAAATAAATAGGTGGAAAACTAGTCAAGCAGACATATCCTTTGTTGCCTATATGTTTCACAAATCAATGTTCTAAGGGAAATTAATTCAATATAAAAGTATGTATAACAATACCAGAGAGAGTACCTACGAACTTTGACCTTTCAGTCCACTAAAGGCACATTCCAACTATGGCTTGTTGTAAGCTATCACATTTATTGTTACTGATCCAGGCACTCAGTCTAATTGTTTATGTTACAATTTTAGAAATCTGGGTCATTATTATGCTTTTTATGGCACCACAAGATTAAAATGGCAGTTTGACAAAAGAACATTGGTTTATTAGCAGTTTGACAAAAGAACATTGGTTTATTAACAAACAGTTTTGGGTGAAATAATGCATGCTTTTTAAAAGGAAATGGTTAACCAAAAGAGGGATTTTAGATAAGAAAATCCTGGGAGAGAGTGTTTCTTTTAATAAAATAAAGCAAATAAAACAAAGGTATTTGGCCGTTTCTGGCCTTACCTGTCGGCATGCCTTGGGACAAACACATGTGGGGTGGTCACTGGTCTTATCACAGATGGAGTAGAACTCACACTGGTCCTGCTCGCCACAGCCCCCTGTAACAGAGGACAGCGTTCCATCACATGCCACACACTGCTACATATCTACTCACACAATGTCTACATACATTACCTTTTCTGTCCACCCATCGCCGATGGACTACAATAGCAATTCATCACAATCAATAACAATCACTGATGCTTATAAACATAATAAATCATGATTATGATTGATTTACAAACAAGAAGAAAAACAATAATCACTGGTGTTTCTCACCAAATATTGTTAGAATCTGTACAACCTTTCTGGAGGAAAAGAATTTGATAAAAATCTGTCTCTGATGCAAGGATTTGTAAAAACTTGATATTCTTAGATAGAAATTTTTTGCCAGCTAAGGCTTCAGAATAAGTTTTGTTTAAATCCTTAAATTATTTAGCTGTAAGCCAATTTAGTTGTTCATTCAGCTGGTTTTTATAGTCAATGATAAACAAAGTAAAATCACACTTCAGGACATATCCTGACTCTTTGGGTTGTATAACCTGAAACTTAATATTTGAAGATCTCAGTTTTATTGGATGGTTACATCTCCGAATCAGCCTACTTACTACATCTGCCTTGGTGCCAAATATTTATGTGGGTGTGTTCATCGCAGTTTGTGAGGCGGAGTTTACACTCGTTTGGGTAAGTCCTCCCATCTGTGCCACAAACCTGGAAAAGCAGGAATTACGTGAAACACTCTTTGTAACAAATTTCAACACCAAATTCCTATAACCTTAACCACAGTTGATCTAACCAAGGACCACCTGACTTCTTTTAATTTTATGCTCAACCATGAGTTTGTCACTGCCCTGTATATAAGGTTTGTCACTTCCCTATATATCAGGTTTGTCACTTCCCTATATATCAGGTTTGTCACTGCCCTATATATCAGGTTTGTCACTGCCCTATATATCAGGTTTGTCACTGCCCTATATATCAGGTTTGTCACTGCCCTATATATCAGGTTTGTCACTGCCCTGTATATCAGGTTTGTCACTGCCCTATAAATCAGGTTTGTCATTTCCCTATATATCAGGTTTGTCACTGCCCTATATATCAGGTTTGTCACTGCCCTACATATCAGGTTTGTCACTTCCCTATATAGCAGATTTGTCATTTCCCTACATATCAGGTCTGTCACTTCCCTATATATCAGTTTTGTCACTTCCCTATATATCAGTTTTGTCACTTCCCTGTATATCAGTTTTGTCACTTCCCTGTATATGAGTTTGTCACTTCCCTATATATCAGTTTTGTCACTTCCCTATATATAAGGTTTGTCACTGCCCTGTATATCAGGTTTGTCACTTCCCTGTATATCAGGTTTGTCACTGCCCTATATATCAGGTTTGTCACTTCCCTATATATCAGGTTTGTCACTTCCCTATATATCAGGTTTGTCACTGCCCTGTATATCAGGTTTGTCACTGTCCTGTATATCAGGTTTGTCACTTCCCTGTATATCAGTTTTGTCACTTCCCTGTATATCAGTTTCGTCACTTCCCTATATATCAGGTTTGTCACAACCCTGTATATCAGTTTTGTCACTTCCCTGTATATCAGTTTTGTCACTTCCCTATATATCAGTTTTGTCACTTCCCTATATATCAGTTTTGTCACTTCCCTGTATATCAGGTTTGTCACTTCCCTATATATCAGGTTTGTCACTTCCCTATATATCAGGTTTGTCACTTCCCTATATATCAGGTTTGTCACTTCCCTATATATCAGTTTTGTCACTGCCCTGTATATCAGTTTTGTCACTTCCCTGTATATCAGTTTTGTCACTTCCCTATATATCAGGTTTGTCACTGCCCTATATATCAGGTTTGTCACTGCCCTATATATCAGGTTTGTCACTTCCCTATATATCAGGTTTGTCACTGCCCTGTATATAAGGTTTGTCACTTCCCTATATATCAGGTTTGTCACTTCCCTGTTTGTCACTTCCCTGTATATCAGTTTTGTCACTTCCCTATATATCAGTTTTGTCACTTCCCTGTATATCAGTTTTGTCACTTCCCTATATATAAGGTTTGTCACTGCCCTGTATATCAGGTTTGTCACTGTCCTGTATATCAGTTTCCTGTATATCAGTTTTGTCACTTCCCTATATATAAGGTTTGTCACTGCCCTGTATATCAGGTTTGTCACTGTCCTGTATATCAGATTTGTCATTTCCCTACATATCAGGTCTGTCACTGCCCTATATATCAGTTTTGTCACAACCCTGTATATCAGTTTTGTCACTTCCCTATATATAAGGTTTGTCACTGCCCTGTATATCAGGTTTGTCACTGCCCTGTATATCAGGTTTGTCACTGCCCTGTATATCAGGTTTGTCACTGTCCTGTATATCAGGTTTGTCACTTCCCTGTATATCAGTTTTGTCACTTCCCTATATATCAGTTTTGTCCCTATATATCAGGTTTGTCACTGCCCTATATATCAGGTTTGTCACTTCCCTATATATCAGGTTTGTCACTTCCCTATATATCAGGTTTGTCACTTCCCTGTATATCAGGTTTGTCACTTCCCTGTATATCAGGTTTGTCACTTCCCTATATATCAGGTTTGTCACTTCCCTATATATCAGGTTTGTCACTTCCCTATATATCAGGTTTGTCACTTCCCTATATATCAGGTTTGTCACTTCCCTATATATCAGTTTTGTCACTTCCCTATATATCAGGTTTGTCATTGCCCTATATATCAGGTTTGTCACTTCCCTATATATCAGGTTTGTCACTGCCCTGTATATAAGGTTTGTCACTTCCCTATATATCAGGTTTGTCACTGCCCTGTATATCAGTTTTGTCACTTCCCTATATATCAGGTTTGTCACTTCCCTATATATCAGGTTTGTCACTGCTCTACATATCAGTTTTGTCACTAACATTCAAGTTTTGATAGGTCAGATGAGCTTATGTTATAAAGTGATATAAGGGTAGGGATATAACTTGTGATAATTAAATAATCATTTTCCTTCATGGTATAAAGGTTAGGACTATCCCCTGTGGTTTTAAAAAAAAAAAAAGGTTAGGGCTATCCCCTGTGGTATAAATGTTAGGGCTATCCCCTGTGGTATTAAGGTCAGGACTATCCCCTGTGGTATTAAGGTCAGGGCTATCCCTGTGGTATTAAGGTCAGGACTATCCCCTGTGGTATTAAGGTCAGGACTATCCCCTGTGGTATTAAGGTCAGGACTATCCCCTGTGGTATTGAGGTCAGGGCTATCCCCTGTGGTATTGAGGTCAGGGCTATCCCCTGTGGTATTGAGGTTAGGGCTATCCCTGTGGTATTAAGGTCAGGGCTATCCCCTGTGGTATTAAGGTCAGGACTATCCCCTGTGGTATTGAGGTCAGGACTATCCCCTGTGGTATTGAGGTCAGGGCTATCCCCTGTGGTATTGAGGTCAGGGCTATCCCCTGTGGTATTGAGGTCAGGGCTATCCCCTGTGGTATTAAGGTCAGGGCTATCCCCTGTGGTGTTCCTAATCAGATTAAGACTTTTCCAATTTGAATGGCACGTACCGGTTGAAACTCCTCAGAACAGACTGGACATTCACAGATAGGGTATCCAGCCCTCATCTGACAAATAGCATCGTTTTCACATGTGTGACCCAGACAAGAAATCTCTCCCTTTCCTGTTGATGAAACCAGACATATATCTACTTAGAAAGGTGTCAAATGTGTCATTAAATTATCACTACACAATGGCTAATGTTGATGTAGTTGACACATGTGATAAAAAAATTATTTAATCAATGAAATTATTCACTCTTATTTATATCTGGGAATAACAAAATGGAACAATATTATTTCTTCAATATGGGATGAGATCCAACTTACCACAGATATAATGAATGACTTACCACAGGGATGAGGTACAATTTACCACAGATATATGGTGTGATGTACCACAGGAATAATGTACAATTCACCACAGATATATGGAGTGACTTACCACGGAAATGAGATACAACTTACCACAGATATATTGAGTGATTTACCACAGAAATAATGTACAACTTACCACAGATCTATGGTGTGACTTACCACAGGGCCCATGGTGTGATAGTATAACATTTTTTTTCTGAAGACATGATGTTCGTCTCAGGTCACATTCATTGTCGTATGTGTAGCCATCAGAGCCACAAACTTGGCGTAGAATAAATTCACAAGGCGACGGACACTGACATTTTGCGATGCCATTTTTGTTGATACTGCATTCCTCACCAAATTCACATGTTATTGTTCGACATGGGTTAGATCCTGAAATCCCACAAAGACAAATTACATTTGCTCTATTTTGATGTGTGTTTTTTAAGTATAAATATACCAACGACAATCTTCCTCTAAACATTAAAATACAATTTGTTAAATTTCAATATTCTCAGAAACTGATCCAATCAGGGTCTAGTTTTAAATTATTGACATTATAAAACTTTTCAAACATTTAGCATAAATAAAGGGAAAAAGTTATAACTCCCATGATTATGCCAGTCATACAAATTAGTCCATTTTACATGACTTTAAATTACTTCCTGTGTAATGAGACCAGATAATGTTTGTAAGCTTCTCATGTTTTAATTGAATCTTCCATTTTAAAAAACCAATTAAAATATAGATATTTACAATTTAATTGCTATTAACAAATAACTAAACATATCCAAAATATGATTAAATATATAACTATTTCTTTAGAAAAGAAGAATGCAGCAAAACCCTGACCAAAGAAAAGAAAAAAAACTAACTAAATATCATTTCCTTATAAGGAAATATTTTTACTTTACAGTACTAACTTTCTTCTGTGGTAAATTCTCATAAATTTTTTGTGTTCATTTTTTTTACCTTGCTTAAGAAAGTTTTTCCAAACAGCTAGTTCATCAAATAATTTTTATGCTTTAAACAATATTAATATCACAAAATAATACATGGCTTAATGGAGTGTTAGTTGTACCATGTCAGCAGGGGATTGTCCCTTTTCACACACATACTTTATAAACATGATGTATTCAGTCAGTTCATCTTATATTATCTGCAGTTTTTGAGAGTATTTTAAAAGTGTGTAAGAAAAATAATCAATCACCTCTGTGTAATTAAGACAGACAAATCCCAACCTGATAAGACAATTATAACGATAATCAAAATTTTGAAATTGGAACCCTACTGATTAGTTCTGAAATTTAAGCTTTGAGTTGAAACAGAATATCATACTAAGTGCAAAATGATACTGTATAACTGTACTTAAAATTTTTTGAAAAAAAAATGAATATTTCTCTCACCTATATATGGTCCTGAGAAGGCCCGAAAGGGCGAAACCGATAGACGAACAACATAATAAAGACTCAAGAACCACACACTTCGAGGCCGTTGTAATTGATATATTTAACTTAATTTCAAAAACGATATTTCAAAGTATTTAGAAATACTTTTATGACTGGTAAACAATTCCAACTTTGTTTTCATTAAGTTCAGAGGTCATCATATGCTTTTTATTGAGTTTCCTATCTAGGTAATATATTACTAAGAGAATTGTCCAAAGTTCTTCTGTTTATGGGTAATATTCTAAGCAATCTATCGGAAAATCATTGTTTATCTGGAGAGAATTTTCCCAAGACCATGCCATGTATGGTCAAAAATGAATGATTGGTTGGTATAAGCTGGATTATCTAAACAGAGTGTGGCAGGATGGTTTGGGATGCTTATTAATATGAATGTTTGTTGAGGGTCTTTTCAGCAGAGTAAAACGGCACGGGACTGTCCAAGAACAGGATGTCGTTAAGTGATGTCACATCTGCACAACATTTAGAAGGACATCGCGGTCCCAGTCTTCTTCATTGATGCCAGAAGCATTCCAAGTCTTAGATGAATCAGATCAAGAACTGTATGAAACTAATTACCGGAAGCCAACATCAGCCTGCAGTGTCTAACTATTCATCCAAATTTCCTTCAATGTTTCAGACTTACCACTTACCATGGTGCATGAGACACCAGCAATTCACTAACAAGGACTTTTCTAATGTGCTCACAGATGAGTTCTGATTTCACCTTGATAACACTGATGTTCAGGTGTTCAGTTGAACATTATAGCGAATTTCATTGTGTAGATGAGTAATTAAGCTTCACCATCATAATGGTGAAGGATGGTATCCCAAAAATCAAAAGGATTCCCTTCCTTAAGTGGAAGGCAACTTGACAAACTGTGCATGCTACAGCAACGAAATTATGTGTGTTTATATTCTTCTATATATCTGTAATAGCCACTATAACAGTATTTTGCAGCAGGACAATGCAGGACCTCACACTGCGCATGTTGTTGGGGCATGTCTACAACAGCAGCATCGTTCTAACATGGCAAGCTGTGTCATCGGATTTGTTTCAGATCAAGATTATCTAGGATAAAATTGCGGAATGTGTAGAATAGAAGCCTAACATTCCTGTGACAATGGATCTGTTACAACATACATTGTCATATGGCAGAATATTCCTAAGCATCTCAGTGTGATTTGATCAATTCCATGATTCCTAGAAGAGTAGCAGGCATCACATGCCAATGGTGGTTTCACACAGTATTAAACATGTGAAGCTGGATTTGAACTCCTGTTCCTCTCTGTGGCAATAGGGATTTTAATCCTAATTTAGAGATTGTATGATTCACTGTGTCATTATGAAGATAACCAATAAAAAGTGTAAAGAAAGATTTGGTACAAAATGTAACATAATTTTAGGTATGAATTCATAAATGAAACATGTAGAAGACAAAGTTTCTTTTTTCATTCTAATATATGATAATATAACATATGAATTTTATTGTATAAAGTTATTTCAATCTATATTAATCACTATTGTTGGCCTAGATGAGAAGCATATCTTAATGAGGGAAGAGATCACAGTACACAAATTTACAAAGAGATCTCAGAGGGATCTTGTCACCCACCATCATTTGATCTTTATTTGAACCTTTGAAGTTGGATTTTTTCTCTTTTTTTCTTGCCTTTTCTCTATTTTTGCTCTTAATTTTATCAAATTTGAAAAGTCTTTTTAAGAAATTGCTGTAACTAATCTTCAACAGTCATATCCAAGATGGCTGCCTGTCCACCATTTTGAATTTCTGACACCAAGCAGGTACAACCAAGGACCAAGGAGAATGGACATATGAAATTTTTGAAAGGTCCATCCTATCGTTCTTCTCAAGAAATAGTGATAACAAAATTTCATAGTAAAAATCCAAGATGGCCACCTTACAGCCATTTTGTTTTTTTTCCGATCAATGCAAAAAAATCAGAAAGGGGACAGCCTAAGGACCAAGGGAAACTTTTTGAAAGTTCTCTTCTCTTCTTTTGTCTTAATAATAAGAAATTTGAACATTCCTGGGATCAGCTCCAAACTCAAACAGGCACAACTAGAGACCAACAGGAACTTGAATGAAATTTAAGAACAATCCATGAAGTACTTTTCAAGAAATAACATTAACAAACTTCATTGAAAAATTAAGATGGCATCCTGTCAGAGGATAAGAAAGATCTCTCCAGCACTTCTCAAGAGAACACAAAAAAAAAAAATATTGTTTACAGATGGATGATAGACGGATGGCAATTTGAAAAGCTCACCATCCAATGATGGTGGGATAAAAAAGCTATGACAACCCTTTAAAATTCAGACTCCAAGATTGATGCCTGTAAGCCACTTTTTTTTCTGATAAGATCAAATATCAAACAGCACACTTAGGGACCAAGGGAAACCTACATCTTAAATTTGAGAAAAATCAATTTGATACTTCTCAAGAAATTGTGATATTAAATTGTCAAAGCCCAAGGAGGCCGCCTTTTAGCAATTTAGTTTTTTTCTGATTTTCTGTTAAGTCCCAAAATCAATTGGACACAATTGGAGGCAAATGAAAAATTTAAGAAAGATCCATTGAGTACTTTTCAAGAAATAGAGATTGATATTTTTAATATTATTGTCATAATCGACAGCCTCCTAGCTATCCTGCCTTTTTTCAAAAGTCTCAAAATCTTATAGACAAAACTAGAGCAAGCTAGAGGAATCTACATATGAAATCTATGACAGCTGCATCCAGTATTTCTAAAGAAAGGGATGGGCCACGGACAGAGGCACATAGACCATGGGCTTTGAATTAAATAGCCACCATCTAATGGCTGTCAGCTAAAAATATACATGGTTGAACTGGTGCATACCTTATAGCTGTTTCTTCAGGAAATTGCCCAGGTGAAAGGTGAGTATGTTTCTGCTATACTGTCCAACAACCCTTTCTTGATATATTTAAGTCTAGACTGCACATAGGTGAATGATTATCTTCCAAACATTTTTTTATGAATTCTTTCCTTTGAGATATTGCTATTCAGCTCAGTACTAATCAAAAACAGGGCAACAATTTGTACAATGTCACCATTTCCTTTATGGGGTGCTACTTTCATGCTTAATCAAGAAGTCAATAACCTGCCTCCCAACAGCTTGGAATTAGTAATCTATGGCAAGTTTTATAAAAGGCTTTCCATGTCTATTAAGTCTTTCTATACAGCTCTTACCAGGCTAATCGTACATAACAATGTCTGCATGCTCCACTCAGTTGTATACCGTTATAACAGGTATCGTTAACAATAAAAACGTCAAAAAATCAATGGCTTTGCCAACAACTCACGTCTTCTGGGAAAATACTTTACTTTTCATAACGTTTAGAGTATCTGACTTTGCCCAGAAAATTCTCTACAATTTCAAATGCTCACACAAACACTAATAAAAATACTTTTTTTTCATAACCTTTAGAGTATTTGACTTTTGCCAGAAAGTTCCCAACAATTTGAAATGTTCACAAAAACACCCAACATATGCATGCATCCTCCCCCTCCCCCCACCCACCCCAACTCTCACATGGTATATAATGTCTTTGTCTTGTTCTTACTGTTTCTTACTGCTAATTTAAACATACATACCAATATCATTATAAAAGAATTCCTGTATATAATGCATTTGTATCATTTTGCCTCAATAATGAATTAATTTGAATTACCAGATATCTATATTTAATAGTATAGTATACAGGCCTGATTTGGCTTCAGTCAATAAAAAAATATATCTCCCACATATTTGATAATAACAAAGAACTTACTTTTAATATTTAATTCTGACCCTCAAGTTTAAAACCTGATTTACTGGGTACATTATTGTATCAACCTACTATGATACTTTTAGTAGAAATTTTTAATCTTAAACTTCTGAAAAGACTTGAGTGAAAATAATTATTGAAA